GTGGATGGAAGACTTCTTTCTTTGTCTCTCCCTCCCTCTATCACTCTGCCTCTCAAATAAATAAATAAATCCCCCTCAAAAAAAAAAAAAAAGAATGCAAAAGGTGATTGCCTTCTTTCTTCTTAAAGATATCTAAGGAAAAAGACACATGGCTAAGTGCAAGTTTGTACAATTTATTTGAAGTCTATCATTTTCAGAATGGCTCAGATACAAAGAATTAGACTTGGCTTAAATCCTTATACCCTTGAAGTTCTAAGTTAGGTTGCTATTATCTTTTTGTTTTCTAAACTAAATGACTCACTTGTGTTTTTTGATTACTATCCTGGATTCCTCCCTCAATTTCTTTAAGCAACTCTTGGTTTGACAACAAGGACTAAAAATACCTTCATGATACAACTCTACTCATACACTTTACAGCTTGAGAACAGTTTGCTCATCTCCTTAGGAGAATTTAACTACAGCTAGGGAGTGGTTAGGATCAGTGAGGCCCAAAGCTAAAGATCTACAGATTAGTGTATATCTTCAAACACAGGGTGTTTCCTTCATTTTTTTTTTTTTTAGGATTTGTTTAGTTGAAAGGCAGAGTTACAGAGAGAGAGAGAGAGAAGGAGAGAAACAGAGAGAGACAGAGAGAGTCTTCCATCCACTGGTTCACTCCTCAAATGGCCACAATGGCTATTGCTGGGCCACGCCAAAGCCAGGAGTCTGGAACTTCCTCTGAGTCTCCCACACAGCTGTCAGGGGTGCAAGCACTTGGGCCATCCTCTGCCACTTTCCCAGGCACATTAGCAGGGAGCTGGATCAGAAGCAGAGTAGCCAGGACTCAAAACAGTGCCCGTAAGTGATGCCAGTGCTGCAGGTGGCAGCCTAACTAACTGTGCCACGATGCCAGCCAGAGGACACTTCCTTCAGAATTCCTTCGTTTAGTGCATCTGCAGATAGTTTCCGGGACTCTTATCACATAAAGACCAAGTTCTGAATTCGATCTCAAAGTCACTCACATTCTCTCTTCCTCTCTTCTTCCTTTCCCTCTGTGCTTTGGGTTTGTCTTAGTTTATCTTCTTTCTTATTATCTGGCTTTCCTGAAGTTTCTCTAACAGTAGTCAGTTTTCAATTCAACAATCATGCTTCCGGAAGACGGAATCATTCAACCCTATCCTTCACCCTTGCCTGGTCTATGCTCCTTCCACTGAAGGTTGGCTGGCTGTCTCCCCTACCTTGATTTTGGGCTTGGCCATTGACTGGCTTGGGCTATGGCTGGTGAGCAGTTCTGAGTCTTGTTTCTACTTAGCCCTCCTGCACCTCTGCCACAGCTGTAAAAAGGAAATGTCGTGGTGGCTAACCAAAACGTTAGTGGGCTTGTTAGTGAAGGGGAAAATCAGAGCAGACTCTGCAGCCTACAGCTAAGAGTCGCTCAGCCAAGCCCAGTCACAAAGCCCGAGCACAGCCATACCAGCCAATCCCGGGAGACTTTGGAACAGTGTAGGGTTCTTATGTTTAAAATGAGTCTTTATAGCCGAGTTCTGTGAGAGACAACGGAGCTATGCTCAAATACAGGGAAGTGTTTTAGGTGGCTGAAGACCCTCTGCAGGAAGAGAGCAGTTTCTTAACTCCCTTAGGACTGCAGAATAAAGAGGCTAAATGTGGCAGACTGGCATTTAACTTAGAGGTTAGGGTGCCTGTGTCTCATACTGGAGCACCTGGGCTCAATACCCCTGTTCAGCTCTGACTCTTGACTCCAGCTTCCTGCTAATGCAGACCCAGGGAGGCAGTGGTGATGGCTCAAGCAATGGGGCCCCTGCCATTCGTATAGGAGACCTGGTTTGAGTTCTCAGCCACCCAGCTTTGGACTGGCCCTGCCCTGGCTGTGGCTGGTATTTGGGGAGTGAACTGGCAGGTGAGTGCTTTGTCTGTCTCTGTCACTCTGTTTCTCAAAGTCAATACATTTTTTTTTTAAAATTTAAGATGCTTAATGTTATAGTAAGTGACATCTTGCTTTAGATGAGGGGAAGGAGAAACTGACTTGCAGAGTAAGAAGAATGCCCCACTCAGGGGGCGCTGTGGAGGACTTGATGCCCACAGCAGCCCTTCTCCTGCAGAAACACAGCCTAGCCCCAGCACACATCAAGCCCATTTGGCCAAGGCTGGCAAAGTCATGGCTGAGGCAGAAGAAACGGGTCCTGAATGCTGGCTGACCACCTCTCCTTCAGGCCACCGTGATTTCTGTCCTTCTGTCTCGGGAATCTGGCTCCTAAATAGACTCAGACAGACTGCCCGCATACATTGAGGGTGCACCTTTTTCTCTTGACCCAAGAGGTAAAACAGGTTTTCTTTATTTTTCTGAATTATGTTCATGCCCACTTGAAATATAAACCAGCCCCTCAAGCTTGCTTCTTAACTCTAATGGTCAGTGTAGCCAAAAGAGCCTCAACTTAAGACTCTATTCTCCAAGTGTAATTCAGTCCACAGGTTAAGAGTTACCACGGGACTGGCACTGTGGCGTATGGACTAAGCTTCCAACTGTGGTGCCGGCATCCCATACGGGCACAGATTCTAGTCCTGGCTGCTCCTCTTCCAATCCAGCTCTCTGCTATGGCCTGGGAAAGCAGTGGAAGATGGCCCAAGTGCTTGGGCCCCTGCACCTGCGTGGGAGACCCAGAAGAAGCTCCTCGCTCCTGGCTTCAAACTGGCCCAGCTCCAGCCACTGTGGCCATTTGGGAAGAGCACCAGCAGATAGAAGAGCTTTCTCTGTCTCTCCCCCTGCCTATAACTGTACCTCTCAAATACATAAATAAAATCCTTAAAAAAAAAAAAGTCACTATGGAGGCCGGCACTGTAGCGCATCGGGTTAACGCCCTGGCCTGAAGCACCGGCATCCCATATGGGCATTGGTTCTAGTCCCAGGTGCTCCTCTTCTGATCCAGCTCTCTGCTATGGCCTGGGAAAGCAGTAGAAGATGGCCGAAGGGCTTGGGCCCCTGCACCCATGTGGGAGACCCGGAAGAAGCTCCTGGCTCCTGGCTCTGGATCAGCGCAGCTCCGGCTGTTGCGGCCATCTGGGGAGTGAACCAGCAGATGAAGGACCTCTCTCTCTGTCTCTACCTCTTTCTGTAACTCTTTCAAATAAATAAAATAAATCTTTTAAAAAAAGGTCACTACCTGTGGGACCACAATAACAGTGTATTTGTATTCAGGCCAAGGTGAAACGAAGCTGCCAATTTGGTTGGAAACTATTGTTGTAGGCAGGCATACAGGATAAAATTGATCAGGTTTGTGAGCTGGAAGACCATGCCTTCATCATGCCCCCAGTGTGACCTCATGCCCCTACCTGACCACACCTGTGTGCCCACCTGCCAATAAAGCTAATTAACCACTCCCCTTTGGAAGTGGATTAAAGGCCTGGGCCCAGCCTTTTTTGCCTTTTGCCCTCTTTTGCCACCATGGGCCCTTACTGCCCTGCACCTTCAGGGCGTGTGGCCTTTGGGCCACCTGCTCCATGCTTCCTGGCCTGCATGCTCCTCCACATGGCTGGATCCCAGTGCTCGGTATGAATCCAGATTTCTCTTTCTTAGATAGAGCCATCACTCTCCTATGCATTTCTCTCACTGACTAAAAAGAGCTTAAAACTTATCAGGCTGCCTTGTTCATTTATGCCAGTATTCAGAATTCTTCTCTGAATATTGGGCAAGAACCCACAAAGCTTATTCATATTGCAAATTTATTAATAAGCACCCAGTAATGCTATCACTTTCCAATGCCATTTAAGAAACATAGAAAGGGTCACATAGTTTATGCTAGCCCATTTCTCAAATCCCTTTTGTCTTCTGTAGACACCAACATCTATTATATGGATATATATATATATTGTGTATATATATATAACATTATATAGACTACATTAATTTATACTACAGACATAATATAAATGGCTGGTAACAGTTTAGCATTCACTAAGAAAAAGTATCTCATACACACACACACACACACACAGACACACACACACACACACCTCTACCCCACAAACCTTCTTGGCTGGTTTCCCAATCAAGCAAAGTTTAGACAAACTGCTCTAAATGCTCTCTAGGGACACTAGGACCTGGGCAAAGTGGGCACACAGGTTGAAGTCTGCCTTTGAGGTCTACAGCCAGCCTGCCCTTCCCTTTAGTGGCATCTTTGGGCTCCCCTAGCTGTCCCTCAGAGTCTCCACTTGCTCCAGGGTGTGAATGACTGATAGTGGTTTAGCTATCAGCCTTTGTGCCTCAAAGGTGCTCATAGCCTCAGGAAAAAACAGAGCACCAGAGGGTGAGACTTCAGCAGACCTGGCCGGATGGGATGGAGGCCTGGACTTGCCTGAGACAGCTGCACTCACCTCCTTCTGCCTCCAGCTGCCGTCTCAGGCCAGGTGTCCTGGGGCCCGGGAGGGCTACTGTTCCCAAGTGGAAACCTATGCTTTTGGTCCTACATGAACCTGGCCAGCCACTGGCTCCTATATGGGCAGGTAACCTGTCTCCCACACTGGCAACCATGGTCAGAACCTGGCTGAGAACCATAAATGACACAAGCTGTCCTCGGAGCAGGGGGAGCAGGTGTCACAAAGTCCACTTTCGGAGCGCGGTCACAGAGCACTCAGAGTGGCCTCACTCAGTGCTTCTGTGCACTTCAGTGCAACTCCAGGACCCTTGGCTGTGGATCCCCCATTTCCAACTAATTGGTTGCAGCAAATCTGAAAACAGACCCGCAGCAACAACAGCTAACAGCTTGACCCAACGTTGGAAAAGACAAAATACAAGGTCTCCAAAGGGGCGTTCAGTGATGGGGCAGGCTGCTCACCACACCTCACTGGCCCACGAAGACATCGCCGCACGGGATTCCAGCCCAACACAGTGACAGGCTGAGACTCTAAAGCACAGGGTGGATGCGTGGACAAGCGCCCCTAGAGGAACCAGTGGTAATTGCACCGTAAAGCTACAGCACAGGGTGGCAGGGCTGGCAACTGCCTACCTCTGAATGTTGTCTTCCAGCTGCTTGACCCTGAACTCATCTTCCTCAGACTGCCGCCTCCTGGCTTCCTCCTCTTCAGCAGTTCCGGCAGGTACACCTTGCAGCAGCCATTTTTCTCGAAGCACTTTGGACTGTGGGGAAGGAGGGAAGACAACAGACAAGAGACCTGTCAGTCCACACCCAACTCTCCCTCCACCTGCAGGGCACAGGGTCAGCTCTGCCCCTCAGTAAGGTTCACCTGAATCACCGCCTTCACTTCCTCACTACCTTGCCTCCTGCTTTCCTTCAGAAAGCCGGCCTCCAGAGGGCTTTATTTCTATTTTTTCTATGATTAAAATAGATTTTTTTAATACCCAGAAAAAAAAAGAACAGAGCGAACTGCATTGTAAATCCCCACATAATCTCACCTAGATTGAACAATCATGAATACTTTGCCACATGTTCCACCAAAGCATTTTAAATAGAAAACATCTTGATGTTTCACCCATCAGTATCTCAGTATGAGTCTGTAAAACACAGACATTTTTCTTTGAAAATGCAGTCTCGTTAATTATAAAATTTCCTCTGATCACCTAATTTCCAGCTCCTATTAACGCATCTTTTAAGGATTAATCTGTGTCGTGCCTCATCTTAAAATCCCCTTAAATGATTTCCAACCATCCTCTAGAGTGGTCCCCACACATCAATGAACTCACGCAGGCCCACCTGTGCCAGTGAACGAGGAGGCTGTGGAAAGGAATAAAATGGTTTTATTTGAGGTCAGTGGTTGGGAGGGAGGGACGCCTGCTTTGAGAAGGGAGATGAAAACAGCTCAAGAGAGACAAGTGCCAAAACCCCCCAAGAGCAAGGAGAGGTGGGTGCTTTCCACTTACACAGCCCCTGTACGGCAGACAGTAGCTTCCCAATGTCTGTACGGAGTGGTTCCTGCACATCAGGGCTGAGGACCAGTGGGAGTCTCATGGACAGGCCAAGCACCAGGGGACTGGACCATTGTGATGACACAGGGGGCATGCCCAATTCTTCCCAGCAACCAAAGGAGTAACAGAAATGAAGCCAGCTAGAGTAGGGTAAGGGCTGGGCCTCCTGGGTCCCTGGCTTCCCTGGTATCGCCTCCACCCAGAACTTTGTTAGAATTTGGTTAGGCAGGTCAAGCAAGGGAAAGGCGAGAGCTTTCATAATGACCAAGAGCCAAGGAAGGCAGGTGAGAAGGGGATTTCTTTGCAGCTCTTAGGAGCAAAGGATGCACAGTTCTGTGGCCTCTCATTTTTATGTGGGATTAAAGGCTATTTAATAAAAACCATCCCCCCAAAAGGAGTTTTTAAAAATTATCCACATTTAGTTATAATAAGTTAGACATTACCATGGAGATCCGGCGGGGTGCCCAGGAGCATACTGTAAGAGGTTAGAGTTCCTGACTTTCCAGGATGGTCCCTTTGGGAGCAAACCATCATCAATATAGCCAGGGTGCTTACTTGTACTATTCCTGCCTTTCAACTCCCAATAATCTCAGTGTAACTCATGATGTGCATCTGTTTGGTTACTCCTATATTGTACAAAGAGGCAAATTTTACACTTGACCTGTGATTTTTCCAATCGTTAGAGATAAAGACATGAGTTTGTTCATAAATAAGGGTACTTCAAAAGGTTCATGGGAAATGTAATAAAAAGATAAGTCCATTTTGATGCAAGAAAGAAACAAATCCACAGGCATGATTGGTCTTCAAAGAGCTCATGTAAAACACACATAATGAAAAAAATCTATGTGCAGATTTCATTTTTTTCAAGATACATTTATCTGAAAGGCACAGTGACAGAGAGAAAAAGGAAAGGGGGGGAGATATTGAGAATCTTCCATTTGCTGGGTTACTACTCAATGGCTACAACAGCTGGGGTGGGCCAGGCTGAAGCGAGGAGCCAGGAACTCCATCTGGGTCTCCCACATGGGTGCCAGGGGCCCAAGTACTTAACCCATCTTCCATTGCTTTCCCAAGTGCATTAGCAGGGAGCTGGATTGGAAGCAGAGCAGCTGGGACTTGAATCAACACCCTGATGTGGGATGCCAGCACTATAACGTTGGCCCCTGATTTCCATTTTTTAAACCCAAACAAAGTTATTTTTAATTCTACTTTTCTACAAGTACCCTCTTATGAATGATTCCTTACTGCACTGCTGAAGTGACTGCAGACAGAAACCACTCCCCACACTGCGATACACTTAAATAGTTACACATCAATGGTAGCATGTTGCCTGCAAATGTGGTCTATATACATAGTTTGCATCTACCACCAAGCAAAGTATAAAAAACACTGTTATTTTCAAGTTACAGGGCAGTGTTTTATAATAATAAAGAAACCACATGCAGAAGCTTGTAGTACAATGTGTTTCTGTTGGTTGTGCTCTAGAGCTTTATCAGAGATCCGTTTCCATTGCAAAATCCATTTTCTAGCTGATGGAGCCCAGGTATTGGTCAGTATCTTCAGCCACGGCAGCTTGGTGACTCTAGGCACCCACAGGGACATGTCCCTCTAACTCTCTCCTTTTGACACAGCAGAAACATCACCAAAACCATCCCCAACAGCAGTGCCCAGGGACAGAGGCGGGAACAGAAAGATGTAGTAAGCCTTGTCTCAAGGGAGTCCATTTCACAACGGAGTTTTGACATTCAAAAGACCCGAAAAAGCATAACTGATTTTTCACTTGGCTCCAAAGTCATGCTGTCACCGGAAGCCCTCGATTCAAATACATTTACGTCTACAGGCTCCCCAACTCCATTCCAATTCCCTTTGTGTTGTCTCTGAGGGCCAGTATTGTAAGGACCTCAGTATCTAATAGGATAGACTAAGCACATCCAGCAAAAACCAGGCTTTTCCCTGAACTGTGCTGGCTTTTATTGGTTCCCTGCATGTTTCTGAATTTAATGACAGGCAGAGCGCAGCAGAAGTGAAAGCTAAAAATAGAGCAGTTTTCTCTTTTTCTGGCCCTTCCTTTCCAAATAGCATAGCTCCAAAAAATTTGTTCCAGCTTACAGGTGCTAAGAACTGTCAAAACTTCACCTTTGTCAAACGCAGTCATGGCAGGAAAGAGCCGACAGAAAGTTGGCAGCTGGACAAATGGAGCCTTGATAGGGGCTCCTGACAGAAAGGTGACAGAAACGGCTCCTAAATGACATCTGTTCCCTGCTTTATGGGCCTGTCTAGTTTTAGGAAACAAAACCTGAACAGAGGCTTCTTCAACTTCCGTATGCACCAGGAATACAGGAGAGCTTGCCAAGACAGACTCCAGGGCCCCATCTGTAAGGATGCTGGTTCTTGAAGTCTGGGGTAGGGACTGAGATTTTGAATATGAAAAAAAAATTTTATTGCTTTTTAAAAATTTATTTGAGGGCCAGGGCTATAGTGTAGTGGGCTAAGCCTCTGCCTGTGGTGCTGGCATCTTCTATGGGCGCCGGTTATATTCTGGCTGCTCCTCTTCTGATCCAGCTCTACGCTATGGCCTGGGAAAGCAGTGGAAGATGGCCCAAGTCCTTGGACCCCCTGCACCTGCATGGGAGACCGGAAAGAAGCTCCTGACTCCTGGCTTTGGATCAGTGCAGCTCTGGCTGTTGCAGCCATTTGGGGAGTAAACCAGTGGGTGGAAGACCTTTCTCTCTGTCTCTCCCTCTCTCTGTAACTCTACCTCTCAAATAAATAAATAAATCTTTAAAACATTTATTTGAGAGGGGTCATCACTGCAGCACAGTTGGTTAAGCTGTCTTTGACATGGGCATCCCATATGAAGGCCTGGCTGCTCCACTTCTTTTTTTAAATTATTATTATTTTTAAAGTTTTACTTTATTTTCCCCCCAAAGAAACCTTTTATTCAAGGAATACAAACTTCATGCATTTCACAAGTACAACTTTAGGAATATAGTGGTTCTTCCCACCATACTCACCCTCCTACCCAGTCTCCCACCCCTCCTCCTTCTCCCTCTTCCGTCCCCAGTCCATTCTCCACTAAGATCCATTTTTGATTAACTTTATACACAGAAGACCAACTCTATACCAAGTAAAGAGTTCAACAGTTTGCACAAAAACAACAACAACAAAAATGTTCCTCAATAGCCAAGACAAGGGCTGTTCAAAGTCCTTGCATCTTGAAGTTAATTTATTTTTTTTTTTAGAAACTCAATTAACTTTAAAAAAGCATCCAAAAATGACACACCTTTTGTGAGCACTTAAACATAATTACAATATAGCTCTTTGAGGACAGAGGTCCTGCATGGAAAGTTAGTGCACAATGACTCCTGTTACTAATTTAACAATTAACATTCTTATTTATGACATCAGTGATCACCCCAGGCTCTTGACATGAGCTGCCAAGCCTTCTGAATCCACAAACTCCATCAGTATTTAGACAAGGCCAGAAGCAAAGTGGAAGTTCTCTCTTCCCTTCAGAGAAAAGTACCTCCTTCTTTAATGGCCACTTCTATCCTCTGGGGTCTCACCCACCAAGATCCTTCATGTGGGACATTTTTTTGCCATAGTGTCTTGGCTTTCCATGCCTGAAATGCTCTCATGGGCTTTTCAGCCAGACCAGAATGCTTTAAGGGCTGATTTTGAGGTCAGAGTGCTATTTAAAGAGAATGTCATTCTATGAGTCTGCTATGTGGACTGCTTTCCATGCTGGAACATTCACTCCTTTTTAATTCTACCTATTATTATTACCAGACCTTCAATTCTATCCATACGATCATTTTAACACTAAGGATGGTATCTTTACCACCCAGACTAAGGGATTTGGGGACCCATGGCAAGTTTTTAAACTGTACCCTTAGGAGAAGGTCCATAGGAATATATGCAGAACTATACAGTTTTACAGTTATAAACTTCAATAGATTTCATATGCTCCATTTCTATTCCAGCTCCTGGATGATGCAATGGGAAAAGCAGTGGAAGATGGCCCAAGTGCTTGGGCCCCTGTCACCCATGTGGGAGATCCAGATGAGGCTCCTGGCTCCTGGCTTCAGCTTGACCCAGAGCTGGCCACTGTGGCCATCTGGGGAATGAGCCAGTGGATGGAAGATCTCTGTCTCTGTCTCTTTTTATCTCTTTCAAATAAATGAATAAATCTTTAAAGAAATTATTCATGACTC